CCTCCGCCGATGGACACCTGCTACAAATCCAAACTAATTTCTTCTCGAATTGAATGGGGTTCTCGGCGATGAGATCACATAGCTCCATCAACGACTCCATTCTCAACGACCATCCACGTCAAGGCGACAAAACATGAAAAACTGAAGGGAGAAATGTAGAAGTTTCATAACATGATCATCGGTTCCAATGACATTGTCCGTATAACCTCCCCCAATGCAGATGAAATGTATGCGTAAAAGTTACAGAGAAATTGTAGTGGAGCTAGCGCCTGAGAGTGGGGCGGCCTGATTCATTCGTCATTTCGTTGCTGTTCGGCTGTTTGCGCGCTGATGACACGACACATTGCGCGCCTTCGTCAATCCCTTTTGTTACCGGAACTCCCAATTTGTAACGGTTTTCTTCACTCTTATTTAGGAGTTATTATTAAAAATTTATTGAGCATTATTATTAGGGAAATTATCATTGACCCCCCTGAGGTTTGATGCATTATCAATCACACCCATATACTATAAAAAATATACTCTTACCCCCCTCTATATCCTTTAATGATGGTTAAATAACTCTTAATCTATATTTAGAGAAAATTATGAATATAATTTCATAATTTTTCTTTGGGCCTGCTTTTAATATTGTAATTCTATTCAACCACAAATCTGATCGGGTAATTAATAAATTTGTCCATATTAAAGATCTTACTATTGGAAGTCGAACCAAATAAAAAAATGACCAAAACTGACCTCACTCTAGGTAGTTCGTTTTATGCATTTCAATTTGTAAAGTGAGTAAATTTACTAATAGAAAATGATCAAGATATGCTAAATTTGACAAAAAATGAAACAAATGAACATAAATGAACCAAACCGACTCAAAAGTGAAGTTTCCTACTCGATTTAACCATTAAAAATTGAATGCAAGAAAATTCCCAATTTAGACACTCTTTGTTATCACCGAAAATGAGATCACTATATATAGGTATAATAATAACGTGTAGATTTAAATATTTGACAAAATATGAACATGTTTACATGTAAATTAAAATATTAGTACAGACATTATAGTTTAGGCGGGTTCCACACCCAAATTGGTTAGTGCTAAATAATTAGGGCAGCCCGTGGCCTTATCTTTAGTTCCAATCCCCTAATTGGTCTAGGTTCGCTCCCAATATTTTTTTTAACTACCTATATTTCTACTTTTAAATGGAATATAGCCCATTTTAAAGTGTTCTCAATGATTTTAATAAAAAAAAATGAACAGGGTCAAAACATGGACTCCAATCCCGATCCCATAAAGTGAGGTCTGAGGCCTTTTTTTCACCGGTCTGGTCTCGATCCCGATCTAAAATTAAAAATAAAAAAGAAATAAAACTATTTTAAATATATAAATTTTTAAATTAAATTTTTAACGGTCATTTTACTTCTGAAAAGCTAATTGCAAATTTTTACCTAGTTGCTAACATTTTATTTCAAACCACTAATGGAAGCCGTTAGTTAAAAAGCTAATATAATCCGTTGTTATCAATCTGCTGATTCAACCGGGTATGTACTAGCAACAACTACTATTATCAAACACGGTCGTTGACATTTTTAGACCTCCACTTTTGATGACAAAATCAAAGTAAAAGGATGACAAATGTCAATTTCACAATACTTAAAATATGAAATGTCGCGAATTCTAATGTCGAGGACAAAAGTTTATTACTTACAAAAAAATGACCAAAGTAAGTATTTCTCATACAAATTTCCAATAGGTAACAATATAGTCTCCTAAAAGTCCTTCACCAACATCTGTTTTAGGTATAAAATAACCCTGCTCATTATTTGGCATCTTTCCCTCGTTACAAAAGTTTCACCAAGATTTCTACAATTTTAGATATATTTTCAAACTTTTAAAAGTATTAGAGATTTATTGTTTTAAGCTTATACCTTTCGATTGTGTGTGCTACTAGTCCTATAATTTTACTCACATGTAGATGTAGTTATGTACCTAATAAATTTGTCAATAATAAGGATTATTTCATCATAAAGTACGCATTTCCACGACAAAAGTATGTTCTGGTGGAAAGATTCTTAAACAGATAAATTTATTAATAATCAGATTAAATCTACAAGTGAGTAAATTTATAAAACTAAATTCATACTCTTGCTAAACGTAATTAGGAGTTAATACACTTTCATTAAAGGACAGGGAGGGGGTAAGTGCATATTTTCAATAGTGCAGGGGCCTAAATGATAATACATGAAACCTCAAGGGAGGTTAATGATAATTTCCCTTATTATTAGTGACACATACAAATCAATTTATAAAACTTTACTCTATGTATATTCATGGAGTAGTTATCTAAATCCGATATAATAAAAGTTAAAGTGTAGCAATAATATTATGGATTTCAAATTCTCGAAATTACATTCTCTTTTCCTTGTTCTACCATTACTTAATTTTAATAAGAAAATCATATTTAAAACATAATAATAAATAAAAATAAAAAATATGCTAGCTTTTGTCACCACCTGTCACCATTTTTGTCGCCGACCACCATTCTCATCTTCATGACATTTTCAGGAAAAAAAAGTTGATGTTTTCCGACATATTCAAAGAGTAATAATGTCATATTCATGACACTTTCAGAGTAAAATGACATTCTTAATGCAAGATGGTGTTATTCAGGCAATAATGGTGTTAGAAGGCAGGCTTATCAAATTGTTGCCTTTGAGCAAATTGTAATACAAGAGTGTCATTAGATCTTTCATGTGAGTTGGTTTTTATTTGATTTTCTTCCTTTTACGTGATATTCCTCTTACCTTTCGATTTACTCTAAAATCAATTTGATATGTCCGTCTATTGCGCCCACCAATGGTTTTTTTTAAAGAACCCTCATTTATTAATGACTCTACTTTTTGTCAATATATTTTAGTAGCAAGTATAACGATGTTGTTAGATTAGCCTACCATAATGTGAGGTTAGCGAACTTGTCGGGTCCTTAGGGGCTGGTCAGTTCTATGTCTCACCCAATGGTAGTTGTCCAGCCACCAGCAAGGGAGAAGAGGTTTGATCAATTACCTTCAAAGACGACATTCCAATTTTACTGGGAAGGGAGAAGAAGTTTGTTCAGCCACCTCCAAAGGAAACATCCCGATTTGACCGGCTACCCTTCAAAGGGATCATCTTGTCTATCAGTATTTTGGGCGGTGTTGTTCCAGGAGCACCATCACCTTGCTGTTTTTTGACTCCTTCAAGGCACCTAACTCAAACACTAGACCATTGCTCTCTTCATCATAAAGTGATTTAAGCTCTCCATTAATGGCAACAAAATGAACACTGGATCCAAGACAGAGAAAAAGAAATGGTGGGACACACGATCACAAGCCCAAACACGTTCACAGTCGGAACGGTCCAAGTGTCCAACTCTCGGCCAGAGAAATCTCAGCTGGACAGAACAACACAAAAAAAAACTAACAATGAAGAAGAATGACCGAAGCACACATAAATTACCAAAGCCCAAAAAGTTGCTCCAAAGTCCAAATCTTCTCGGTCGCACTCTCCGCCGCACCAACGATATTTGTTTTTTGGACAATTCTTTCTAACCTAGTACAATATCTGTTCAACGTTAAGACCAACATCCTTGAATTGAGATGAGATTCGAACATGTGACCTCCTCGGGAGTGTCACAGTGATGCCTCAGACCACAAGGTACTTGGCGCCGCACCAACGATATTAAACACCACATATACATATACGATTAGGCATGGACCGGTCCCGGGCCGGGCCGGTCCTGGGCGGGATTTTTGGGTTTGGCTTCGGGCCCGGAACCGTACTGGCCCGGGTTTTCACCGGGTCCGGGCCGGGCCTACCCGGACCGGTCTCTGGCCGGGCCGGGCTGGGCCACGGGCCCGGAACCGGTCCACCACTATATACGATGCTTAACAAATTACTCCTTATAATTAAAACCTTATAAAATGATAATAAGCCTCTGCAATGACTAACTATTTAGCCAATATGATAAGGTACAACGTTTAAAAAGTGACGCAGCTCAACATTACTAGCTCTAAAATTCTAAATTATGCAATTTTATATTAGTAATGCCAGAATTTTGTAATTATTATTGTTATTATTAAAAGTAAATGATATGTATACGTTTAGATAAAATATTGTTGTAAGACTTATAACTACGAAACATATATCATAATATCAACTTAAGACTGTTAAGAGTTTGATTTATTGAGAATAATTTTTATTCTTAAAGCTAAAATATTGCATCGATAACTTTTATTCTTATTGAGACGGTAATTTAGTTCACAGTTCACACTAAGCTAAAATAATACTCCGTGCCACGTATAAGATGAGGGAGTGTCTCATTTTCAATATCATGCTGCTATTTTATTTTATTTTTGCTAAGAATTATTTATTGGGTTTTTTTAAACATGACTGCATGAATGATAAAGTAAAGGGAAAACTGTCAGATAGGTTCTCGAACTTTCATAAAAAAGTCAATTAAGTCCTTCTATAGGAGGTTCTGTCCGGCCATCTCGATTTGGGGCAGTTCCCGGTGGATTTTTTTGATTAAATTTTTTGAGAATCTTATTCATTAAGTCTAGTTTACTCATACCAAATTTTAGCTAACAATTCAATCGGGAACACATTCAAATTAATTCTTGAAGATAACTGCGCATTTTTGCGTTCTCGAATTAATTTGAATGCACTCCCGATTAAATTTTTAGCTTAAATTTGGTATGAGTAAACTAGACTTAATGAATAAGATGCTCAAAAAATTTCATAAAAAAATTCCACCGGGAACCGCCCCAAATCGCGACGACCGGACATAGTCTCCTATAGAAGGACTTAATTGACTTTTTTATGAAAGTTCGAAGACCTATTTGACAGTTTTCCCTAAAGTAAACAATAAAGCCAACAGATTCTTAAGTAAAAATGCTAGGGAGGGAAAAAACGTTTTTTCAATAATAAGAAATTGAACAACTAAATCAACACATGTAAACATAATACATGTTCTCTTACTTTCCAGATCAATTATAATACCTTCAGAAATTAGAATAATGTAAACATGATAATACACATTACCAATAATACCTGTTCTCTTACTTTCATGTTTTTCTATTGTACATAGATTATAGATACTACCAGTAAAGAAAACACAAGTCTTTTAACCCACATGGAGCTTTGAAAGTTTGAAGAAGTTGAACTATTTTTTGGCATTAAAAGGTAAAACTTGAAGACCTCCATATCAAGCCTGCACACATCAACTGATTATCAGACCTTTAATATTCAGTTTCCAATATCCCATCAATAAGACCGAACTCCATAGCCTGCAATGTGATGGTCAAGCAAGCAAATGGAAAAGTTAGTAATGCTATTGGTGTAAGCTCGATTCACATTCAGATATTATGAAATGTTCTAAGTTAACACATCAACTTTTCACTAATATAAGAAAAAAGCACAAAAACACCAAGTCCACTTGGCCGTATGCTGTAAGACTGAAATGACTAAAGTTGCTGAAAAGTGAAAATGTGACTAAATTGCTGAATTTGCTGAATTATCACACAATAGTGTTCGTTCAAATTTATTTTATTGACAATAATAATAATGAAAAAGGCTTGCCTAAAGCGGTAAAATTGTCATTTTCATTCATTTCAGCGACTTCAACAAAAAAGTACTTTTTTGCATTGCTTTTTTCCATTATCAACCAATTCAGCCCGGGCAGTGAACCCAGTGCATCTTTTGTATAAAAAAAAATAGTTGATAAGGGAACATGCAAAAATATTTGGCATGTAGTAATGTTACCTCTGAAGCAGATAAAAAACAATCTCTTTCAGTGTACAATTGAACTTTCTCAAGTGGTTGGCCAGTAAATGCAACATACATTTGGTCAAGTTTCTGTGACAGAAGAGAAGTGTGAGTCAAAACACACAGAAGAGAAGTGTTCACTATAAGCAGAACAGATTCCTACACCAAGACCATAGGTACATGATTGAAGTATTAAAATATCAGTAATTTCTTCAGTTCACATTTTCATATCAATATGGAGAGAGCTCTTCTCATCAGGCCGGCCTGACGGGCTGCCCCGTCCGGCCGAGCCCGTTTGGGCACCTTCCCGGTGGAATTTTTTGATGAAATTTTTTGAGCATGTTCCTCATCAAGTCTAGTTTGTCCATACCAAATTTCAGCTCAAAATTCGATCAGGAAGGTCGTCAAATGATTTTTGCAAGTTAACTGGTCGTCAAAAAATTTCATCAAAAAATTCCACCGGGAAGGTGCCCAAACGGGCTCGGCCGGACGGGGCAGCCCGTCAGGCCGGCCTGATGAGATGATTTCTCTCAATATGGAAGCCGAATACTTCCTCCGCTCTTAAAATAATTGCAATGCTTTCCTTTTTCGGCAGTTTCAAAATATTTGCAAGTTGCAACACTACTAAATTTATGTACAATAGGATAACTAAGGGGGTGTTTGGATCTGATTCTCAAAACTGATTCTGCTCCTTCAGGGAGCAGAAGCAGAAGCTAGAGTGTTTGGGTGAAATTCCAGAAGCACTTCTGGAGCTCTAATTTACTCTCAGAATCATTTTTTTTAGAAGCTGGGGGGTACTGAAAACTGATTCTGATTCTGCTTCTGCTTTTAAAAAAGAAGCAGAAGCAGAATCAGTTCCAAACACCCCCTAAAATAACTATTATACTCTCGCACACATTTAACTCCCAAATAATATCACCAACTTCACCGACCCAATTCCCAACCTGAGTCTTGCAGGTCGCCCCCACCCTTTCATCTTTCTCCATTTCTTCCATCCAATAGGCGAGTCTCTTTCTATTCCACCCCCTCTGCTTTTTTTTTTCTCACTTCTTTTCTCTGCCATCTTCTTCTCCATCATTTCTTCTTTCATTAATTTGAAGTTTCAGCCAACAATCCCAAATCACAATTACATTTATTTGTTTGCTCTGTTACTCCCGTCAAAATCTGACCAGTTGACAAAACTTTGAAAGATGGATTTCCAGAGGAGCTCTCACCTTTGATAGATCGAGATATGGAGAATAGTTAAATCACCAATCAAGGTTATAGAGATTAGAGAAGCTAGATTTAAAAAAGCAGTAATGAAGTAACTCTTGAGTGAGATTCCAATAATAGAGTTAAAGACACCAAGAGAATTACAAATAATTGTGAAATCAGAAAAGCTTTACAGAGATGTTACAAAAAAGAAAAAGGAAAATGCAAGAAATTGAGATTATAATAAAATAATCCATGGAAAAGAAGGAAATGGAAGAGGATGCACTTTGGTTGTCAGAAAGTTTTTGAGCAGCGCTTCAAGTGGATGAGAATGGAGAGCAGGTAAATGAGGGTAAAATAGGAAGAAAAAAACTTTACCGAAATTTCTTAAGATGGTGTGCCTTTCAATGTTGCATCTATTAGGGAACCGAGATAGTATACGCTTAGAAGCTAAAAGGACCCAATTATCCAATTGAAAGATATTTTTCTCAGAAACAAAGATGATTAACTATGTGATTGCCCAGAGCAAACATTTAGTCAGAATGCGCAACATTCTTTAATAGACGCACGGTGAGAGATACTCAATTTGACTTTTCCAAATTCAAAACATGAAAAAACAGACATCCAGTGTAAGCCTGTAAGGTATAACACTAAAAGTAATGCTACAGTCTAAAGTGATAAATGAACTGACATGACGAGATAGAACGGCTTCCTTCACTTGGCGCCTCACATCCTCCACGTGACCCTGTAACAGTAAAAACCACAATCAGCAGAGCAGGCATCTGCTGATTTCAAAACCTAACTTTTATACTTCTTCAGAACCAAAACTTTTTTAATTTTTGGCAAATTTCTATGTCCCAAAACAATTTCCATTTTAGCCAACTTTCTTTGTCCCAAAACAACTTTCGTTTTAAGACTTTAATTCATTTTTTCACTAATATCCCAATATTGCATATATTTACTCTTCCTCATCATTATCTTATTTTTGAGAAGGAATGATGAGATGAAACTTATAACTTCCATGTTTCCATCCATCGTATAGATTATTTCCACATGCAAGGAAAATATCATGTGTGAGATGTTTGCTATTGTTATTTCCACTAAATAATTGACATTGCAATTTGCAAATACCAGCATATTAACTCCTAGTAGATTAAATTCTTTGTATCTAGGAAATAAGTACAACAACAACATTACCCCAGTGCCGCAAAAGCTCCCACCTACGATGGGGTAAGGGTGGTCGATGTACGCAGCCCCAGTACTAAAGTAAAGAGAGACTTTTTCCGAATGACCCATGATTAAAATCGCATCGAAAATTTCATGGACTAACTACTGCTTCAAAACAAAGAAGAGCACACAGTTTAGTGAGCCATTTTGCTTTATCCATCATATTCCCAAGCCAAAAAATAGTGAACCTTTGGCTCCATTGGAAATGATGGAAATATCTAGGAAAAGAGTATTAGAAGAAGGAAAAATTAGCACCCGTTTGGAAATACTAAAATTGACTGAATCAGCTGAATCTACTGAAATTGATGAAATGTTGGCTGAATCAGCTGAGCTGACTGAATCACTTCAATTATGGAAAAAATTTATATAAATATATTTCATTAATAAAGTAAAGAAAAAATTATATGAAAGATAGCTAAAATGATCATCTAAAGTTACTTAGTCAATTCAGCAAGAAAAGTAACTTCAACCTTACTTATTTTATTACACAATTCAACGCGCGAAAATAAAAGTTACATGTTTGGTAAAAAACAGTTGGCTGATAAGTTGGTTTAATCTTTCACACCGATAATAACTAGATAACTAGGACATACCCCACATCCACTTTGCGGTTGATGTATCATAATACGTGCATTTGGCATTGCATACCGCATACCCTTTTCCCCACCTGCAAGAAGAAGTGTTCCTTGACTGGCAGCCACTCCAAAACAGACTGTACCAACCTTAGGCTTTATCTGAATCAAACAATAGCTACTGACATAGTTATCACGGGAGTATAACTTTCAGGGGAAGGGATTATAATCTCAGATACCACTAGCAAATCATATTGTAACCTACAGAATAATATTGAAGTACCCTTACCCAGGACATGCAGTCATATATTGCCAACACAGAATAAATGCTTCCCCCTGGGCAGTTAAGATACATCTGCAATTGGGAACGGCATGAGAATACTTTATAAGATGTTATGCTACTTCAGAAATGAGAAGTGTGTGTGTAAAAAATGTCTACCAAAATATCGGCATTTTCATCAATTGTTGCAAGCGTCACAAGTTGTGATATGACTCTTTGAGCAACTTGTGAGTTGACAGGTTGCCCAACGAAGACAATGCGATTTCTAAGCAATATGGTTGACAGGTCCATAAGGCCACCTGGTGTCGGCACTGTAGGCATCATGGTTGGATTCCCCCTTTTAGCTTCAATAGTACCATAGCTGCTAAGACAAATTAGGGAATTTATACATTTACAGGACTTTTCTAGGGCGTTCCCATGGTAATATTCAAAAAAGTGGTTTATTTTCAAATTTCACAAAAGGATTTTATGTATTCTAGAAAGAAGTAGAAATTATGCATGCATCACCATTATCAATAATAATATACTCCATAAGAAAAAATTAGTACTAAACACTCATAATGGGATGAAAAGGAACTCACTAATTGAATCTTATAATGTGCCATATGGGTATGCTTTAGAGAGAGAGAAAATACATTTACATGTTGACATTTTTGGGATGCTGCAACTAAACCTAAAAGATAAAGCAGATTGCCTCACAAACGTTCATCTTAAATTAAGTTTTTACCAGACTAAAATAAATGAAAACCAAGTCAAGAAATAACTAGTAGCTGATTCTTTTTCCGTAGTACATGTATAACAGGAAAGAATATGAAATTTATTACTCCCTCCATCCCTAAAAGAACTTCCAACTTTCCCTTTTCGTCCGTCCCAAAACGAACTTCACTTTCCCTTTTTGGCAAAGAATTTGTGGTTCACAGCAATTCTTACATTTCTTACACATTTCTCTCTCCTCTGCACAACTCTCCACCACACAATTCCCACTTTCTTAATCCGTGTGTCATTTGTACTACGGAAGAACATTTACGGACGGAGGTAGTAGAAAATACTACCTCAGTCCTTCTAACATCGAGACAAAATGGGGTGGTGCGGTTATAAAGAAAAGTGAAATTGTGTGGTTGGTATTAAATTTATAAAGTAGCCACCTAAATTTTATCAAATATGGTATGGGACAAAGTTAGTGGGAGGGACGAAAAAGGTAAAATTGGACAAAAATAGGAGGAAGGAGGGAGTTCATAATTAACAGCAACCAGACACTCAACCACGCGCATCTTTCCAAGTAGCTATAAGGCTAAAAGAAACAAACCCTTGATTGATGGCAGCATTGCTGTTGTCCTCGTCTAGCTTTAAGCGCCAGCCCTGGGCACTACTGGATAGTCCTGAAGGTTTTACAAAAAAAAAAAAATCACTTGTGCAAGATATTCAAGTTCAACAGATTGCAGCAATTATTCTGAGAACTATGAGCTGTGAGCATACCGATTGTTGATGAACCAAAATTGGGATTAGGAAGCGCGCGCACAATGTTTCCCCCTGAATTTCTAAAGAAGAAAGATTCGTAATAAGAAATTACGGAGTACTCCTTAGTATTTAGATCATTTGTAATTTTAGAGTTCAAATAGAAATAAAAAGTGAATTATAAGCTAAAAAGAACGGAGTTGCCTGCGTAGTGTTGTCTGGTTGAGTGAGGAAAACGAAACTCTTAGAGGCGTCGCAATGGCTGATGCTGCCATTTTCGACGATGGGATGAGTCGGACAAGCGGTGTTCAACAATAACGCTTCTCGGTCATTTGAAGTAAGAGCAAAGATTCATAGAGCTTAAAATTCTATTATGGTTGAATAAGAAAAAATAAATAAATAAATAAATAAATAGCAGTCATATAATTTTTTAAAAAAGTGAAATGAGAAAAAAATGAGACATCCTAAAAAAATAAGAAGGAAAATGTTCAGGGATGGAGGGAGTATTTTTCAATTTTGGATTAAAAATATGAAATAAGAGTTTTCAAACAACATTTGTTAATTGAATTAATTAATTAATTAAACATTTAAAAGTGAGAAGCAAATTTGTGAACATTGATTAATTAATTTATTAATTAATCGAACATTTTTTAAATTCTTTTTCACTTATTTATTACACAAAAATACTTTTCTAACATACAATATATGAACTTTTACCTTTTTAAACATTTATTTTTTCACATTTTTATTGTTAAACATTTTCTCTAATTAATATAGGTATAAGTTTGATTATCAGCCCACACCAAAATTAAATCCTAGCCCAGCCCAGCCCAGCACACCTGCTTCCTCCTGTAGTCCATAAGCGAAGAGCCGACGAGGACGCTGTGAACTGCGAACACCAGCCGACCTGCGGCCACAAGCCGCGCCGCCGGACGCCGTCGACTACTTTGCTGTCCTTCCTCTCCGTCTCTCCCCTCTGCCTGTAGCTCCTGAGCTTCAGCCTCTAGGCGACCAGGTATACTTCTAATACTCTTTTACACTTTTATTAATTGATTTTTTCAGGGTTATTGTGTATTATTATTGTTTTTTGTTATTTTTAGGGTTAGAGAATCAATTTGATTATCAATTGAATTTCTCAGTTCATAATAATATAGTTTTTATCCATTATAAATTTATAATGATTAAAGATAGAATTAAAGATTAGAGAATGATTTATTTATTACACAATTGAATAATATAGATTGATTGATTTATTGTGTGGACATGTAAGAAAGAATTACAATTTTCAATTGAATTTTGAAATTGGGAATACTTATTAGTTTTATGTACAACTATTGTTTTTTCTTATTAGTTTTATAATTTTATAGAATTATTTTAATTCATACCAATATTGGAAATGTTATTTAGAATGGATAGTGATTAATGAACATATTGCCATAAAATTTGGAGCTGCCTCCATCTTTTTGCATTACTAGATGTAGATTCTATATTATTCATGAATTTTATACTTCGAAGTCGCGTCTGGCACAACTTAATTGATGTTTTGATGAATATTTAAAGTGTTGACGACTTTACGTTCTTCAAATTTTATTTCTCTGACCATCCCATTGTAGCTTTCTGGATCCGCCCCTATATCTGACCGACGTGCGACGGCAGGAAAGTGAATGTATGGAGTTGTGGCGGAGAATTTGGAGCCCTAGAGGTTTGGAGTTTGGACTCTAATCAACTTGTAGATGACTGAGCGGGCGGAGCGGCGGGGGAATTTTCGGCATCTGGGAAGACTGATTGTTTGTAACTGGAAACAGGAGTTGAGGGTTCTGGAATACTACTAAACCTATAGAACGATGTCGTTTCGGTTAAAATATTGAGATTTCCAGGTGTTTACACGGTCCCTTCTTCGTAGCCTATATTCACTAAAAGAATTGTCATGAGGTTTGCCTCAATCTTTACCCATGTATCAGCCTCAAAGAACCCCAGTTTTCGAATTAGCAACTCCTTTCTCTTCTCCACATCTTCATGTTCACCATTGTCTGCTTCACAGCAATTTGTGACCCATTTGCAGAAAAACAGGCAGAACATAGAGAAAACCCTCAACTCAGTCAAAGCCAAATTGGATGCACCTTGTGTGACCCAAGTTCTTGAAAGGTTCTCAGTTGAGAACCCTCAAACGGGCCTGAGGTTCTTCATATGGGCTGGGCTTCATCCATCATATAGACACTCTAGGCACATGTATATCAAAGCTTGTAATATGCTGAAGATTGACAAAAACCCTAAAGTAATCACAGATGTGTTTGAGGCTTACAGGGATGAAGATGGATGCGGAGTCAGCGTGCAAATGTTTAGGGTCGTATTTAATTTGTGCAGAGAGGCTAAAGATGCAGACTTGGGATTGATGGTGTTGAGAAAAATGAAGGAATTCAATTGCAGGGCAGACGTGATATGTTATAATGGAGTGATAAGGTTGTTGTGCGAAAAGGGGGATATAGATGAGGCGATGGGGTTGATGAGAGAGATGGGGCTCATTGATCTTTATCCTGATATGGCCACTTACACAATGATAATCAATAGGTTGAGTGATGTGGGCAGGTTGGAAGAGGCCTGCAAGATGGTTAAGACGATGAAGGGGCAAGGCTGCTTTCCAGGAACAACGGTGTATTCTTCCCTTCTTGATGGGATTTCAAGATTTGGGGGCTTGGAGAGGGCAATGGAGTTGTTGGACGAAATGGAGAAAGAAAGCAGCGATTGCAGACCAAATGTTGTCACCTACACAACTCTGATTCAAGCGTTTGTTGAAAAAGGGTGTACATATGAGGGAATGGCTATCCTGGATAAGATGGAGAGTTTTGGATGTAAACCAAACAGAGTGTTAATGGCTACTCTGGTTCAGGGACTATGCAGGGATGGTGATATCAACGAGGCCCATAAAATAGTGGATCGGATTGGTGGGAATGGTGGTGGTATTTCAAATGATGAGTGTCACAGTTGTTTGGTGATTTCGTTGTTTCGGGTGGGAAGGTTCAAGGAGGCGGAGGCTGTTTTTAGTAGGATGCTGGCTTCTGGTTTGAAGCCTGACACAATCTCGTATCAGACAATGATGAAACGGCTGTGTTCTGAAAGAAGGAAGGAGCTTGATGGATATATGGCTTGAATATTGAATATTGATCTTTCTACTGCTGAATTATGATGATTTGATGAAACTAGGTGGTGAACTTGGGTAAGTTATGCCCACCTTTCCTTTCAGTAAATGCTGATAGTGTGAACTCATCTTTAATAAGAAGCTCTTTGTTTGGTCTCGTTTGGAAATATTTTATATTCCAATTTGGTAATCAAAAGTAGCTTATTCTGCTGGTTCTGCTTACCAGCAGAATAATGAGAGTAAAATAGTGTTTTCCTAATCAAATATGCTCTATTCTTTAGTTTAGTGTTTCAAAAAAACAAACAATGTAATGCATCTAGTGCTTGATGATTGTGGTTCATGGATATTTTTGACATTCATTAGTCTTGGCCGAAGATACTTAAATTGCATTGCTTATGTTTGCGTAGAATAACAACCTCTTAACAACATGTTTGTTTTGCACATCAATGACCTAGTATACATTTCTTATAAACTTAGAGAGTCAAATTAAGTTTACCCATATATTAATCAAATAAGAGAAGTAACTTTTTTTCTAATACTGTACATATTAATTTCCTGAATCTTCAACTGCCTTTAGCTTTTTATGTATGAGCCTTCATGATTGAATGAACATCTATATATATTCTGAATAAGAACAGTGTCATTTGTCTTTATATATTTGAGAAGTCTTTTAATTCAAAGTTCAACCTACTGTCACTTTCACCTCATTTATTATGATTTAGGAAGTTTTGGTTTAGTATGGTATACTTGATAAAATGGAGTTTCTGAGCTTGGATAAATTCAAAAAAGACTTACGTTCCACATTTCTTGTTGCTAAAAATATTTTTGGTTCAGTATGGTATACTTTTGGAAAAGTAATGTTCACTGTTCTAAAATGTCTTGACTTAGTAAGTCATTGATGCATGTATAAAATCACATACTTATCTAACCTTAATTTATGCATAATCTGAACTCCTAGCACTTTAAGTTAGAACAGTTTGGTCTTTGACATAAAACATTTTATACTTTTTTTACCCCTTGTTTGTTAAGCATATATATTTGCGAGTGTTCTTTTATAGTAAATACAGAGTTAGATTTATTGGGAATTAGAACAAAATATATATTTCACTTTTTAGAGCACACAAAAGTCCTTAGCGAGTTTGTTATTTAAAATTGAAGGGACTATTTTGTTCACGACCTTTACAAAGACTCGTTGGTCCTCTATCCTAAACTTTAAACGGTGTCTTAATTAGTTCATGATGTAAGATGCTTCATAATTATAAAAAACTGTGGAACCAACTAAATTAACTCTATCACTTTCTTAACATTTGAAATCTTTGTGAATGAAAGATGCATTTTTTTAGAGCTCATTGAACGATTGATTTGTTACAGATAACAAAAAAGTGAGTGGTCAAATCAAAGACAATATCTCAAAGTTAGATCAATACAAAGCTCTCAATTTATCAATCAGATTAATGGTTACAAATTAAGACCACGAAAAGCGTGTGGTCAAATCAAAGACTAAACTAACACTATCACCTGATTCTGATAGAAAGCCATCAAAGAGGTAGCTGCATGGAGCACTTGCACCGTTGATTGAGGAGGATGAAGCATGCTACCCGTCAGTATGGCAAAAGGTAAGAGCTCGTGAAGAGATGTTCAGCTCTTTGCTTTTTGGAATCTCCCAAGCTGCTACTGCTCGTAGTGTTCAACTACTCTGTTGTGTTTTGTTAATTCGGTTTAAACCTCTTGTGCTTGCTACATGTGTCAGGGTATGCTATTACTCCCTCCGTCCCTGAAAGAAGTTCCCCATTTGACTTTCACACACTTACCAGGAGTAAATTTTACTGTTTTGACACTGTTTCGACACTGTTTGGCACTGTTTTGATGTAGATAACTTTCTATTTAAGGAAATGGGAACTTAAATTAGGGACATCCAAATAAGAAAGTGAGAACTTCTTTCGGGGACGGAGGGAGTATTTAATTGGAGCTGCCTTCAGTAGTAATTGCACATCTATAGTAAAACTTTTACTCTCTCCTCACCTAGAGACCAACCCTTGGAGCAGCAGCCAGGAGGCCATGTTTAAGAGAGTCAAGTCAAGATGTCAGATAATTAAATTTGGCTGGAAAAGGGATTATTCTCCTGTGGAAACTTTCATTTTGGACTTACCTGCAAGTGCTCAGGAAAGGAGCAGCTACGATGAAGAGGTAACATGATAGTTGATGGGTGACAAAAATATGAACTTGTTTTGAATTTATAACCCCCCATACTTTAGGGGTTTTAGAATAGTGCGATATTCGAACTCCCAAAAGTACTTGTGACATATGTTTTCCTCTCCTTTGTTAAATTCTTAATTTTATATTGTGATCCTCCTGAGCTTTCTGGGAATATACACATTTTAATTTAAGTACGTGGAAAGGGTAAACGGAAAGCTTGAGTCCTTAAGAGATTGTATGATTTCATTAGGTGTTTGCGGTTGCAGACATGGGGGCATTCGGGTGGGGCAAGCACCCACCTTTTTGTTCCAAAGTAGTACTAGTATTTACGTGATAAACTCGGGTCGAATTGTATTACGGAGTAATTCTTATGCTGGTATTAAAGTGTTTAAAGAAGCAAATTAAAATGCTTAACGAATCTACTTTAATACTAATAAAGTAGAGTCATCTCAATTGAAATTGATTTGTGTTTAGATTGCAATTGAGTCCAATCATTAAAATTGATTTCTTTTAGATTTTACCCATAATTATTTATAATTAAAATTAAAGTTGGAAATGTTTTAGATAATAGCAAATGTTCACATTAACACACCCATAAAATACGGACTCGATCAACTCAATGCAATCCCATCCTAAAGCATGTAACAAACAGTTACCCACCCACTCAAAAAAGGACAACTTTTTCATTGACTCATGTTCATATTAAACCAAGGATTTGGTCGGATAGTTTACAAAAAAACCGAATAAATGAAAAACGCAAAAAAGCTTCAAACAAAGAATTGTGTATTATTTATTTATGCCCAACATAATTGTTTTATATTTTTTTGTAGGTTGTATCTATATTTTTTTTAAGTTTTTATATATTTAAAAAGTATTAATTTTTAATATTATTAGGTGTATTAATTTTTTAAATTTTTTATTATTATCAGTCCTATTTTGGGAAGATAAACAACATGGTCGTATTTGTGTTCAGGGATTAGTTTACTCCTATTTAGAGTTATTTTCCCTTTATTTTACTCCATAATAAAGAAGTCATTGCACCCTTTATATATAATCTGATAGTTAATCGCCCTGTTTGGGTAATGACATTTTCAACAAAATGTTGATTTTTATTGAACTACAAATTTAGCCACGTGTAGGTACCGAACTGCCGAAAAACAAACGGGGGCATTATTATTATTATTATTATTATTATTATTATTATTATTATTATTATTATTATTATTATTATTATTGTTATTTTATAATAATAAATGTGATAAATCATGTTTGAAATTTTCTTATCTGATCTGATCTGAATGTTTCTGATTTGGTCTGATCTGATCTGAATCTTTTTTATCTAATCTGAATGATTCTGATCTGATCTGAATCTTTCTGATCTGAATTTTTCTGATCTGATCTGATCTGAATAAAATAAGAATAAGCAATAAGTAATAAGAATAAGACGAACAGAACAGCTTCTTAGGGTCTGTTTGCAACAGCTTCTGCTTTTAAAAAAGTGCTTTTTTAAATGAAATGGGGAGAAGTGATTAAATAAAAGTTGATAGTGTTTGAGAAAAAAGTGATTTTGAAAAGTAAAAGTGGGTAGTGTTTGGTAAAATAAGTGTTTTTTGTGTAATAGAAAAAGTAAAATCACTTTTGACGCGAAAGCCGAGAATAATAAAAGTTATAGTGTTTGGGAAAATAAGTGCTTTTTTAAAACCAAAAGCTGAGAAGTGCTTTTTTAAAAGCAGTTACAAACTAACCCTTAGTAGACATAATTTTGGTAGCTTTAGATGGAAAGTGAAAATCCGGTGCTCGCACATTCATAGATAGACCAACCACAGAGGACGTCTTTATATGTAACATGTGAGATGCACGTGTATAGCCTTTCCGGTCATAATTTTATGCCACCAGGTAAGGGACTATTTAAGAAAATGGTGACTAAAGTTGGAACTAGAGGGAAATAATTCATAATAGGGATTATTAAAAGTCGACCGTGAAAAGTTGGGATTAATAATATCAATTTTTCCTAATAACAATAAATCTAGACTATGAAGTAAATACTCATTGCCTTAATGTTAGGTCGAGCAACTGATTTTAAAGAGAACATAAAATGCAAATTTTGATTATTAGCTCAAACCATTTTTTATTAACAGCAAACCACGAAAATCGGTGGTGTAAGAGTTGGGCGTTTCTTACCAGATTTTATTAAAAAGACAAATCCAATTTATATTTAATTATATAGAGAAAACTTCATGTCAGGCCGGCCTGACGGGCTGCCCCGTCCGGCCGAGCCCGTTTGGGCACCTTCCCGGTGGAATTTTTTGATAAATTTTTTTGAGCATGTTCCTAATCAAGTCTAGTTTGTGCATACCAAATTTCAGCTCAAAATTCAATCGGGAAGGTCGTCAAATGATTTTTGCAAGTTAACTGGTCCGGAAAATACATATTCCGGACCAGTTAACTTGCAAAAATCATTTGACGACCTTCCGGATCGAATTTTGAGCTGAAATTTGGTATGGACAAACTAGACTTGATGAGGAACATGCTCAAAAAATTTCATCAAAAAATTCCACCGGGAAGGTGCCCAAACGGGCTCGGCCGGACGGGGCAGCCCGTCAGGCCGGCCTGATGAGAAGAGCCCTCTAATTATATATGTATAATTACTTATATTACTCCTCTTCATAATTTGGAACACGTATATACATAACGTCTTAATTAACAATATTAAGAGTCCTTAGCTTTTGGTGATTCTATTTTTAAGACTATACGTCATATCAGCCAATTTTTTAACCAAACATGTAACTTTTGATTTCACGCGCCCACGCGCCGAGTTGTGTAATAACCAAAATAAGTAAGGTTGAAGTCGCTTTTCCGATTGGATCTGCTTAAGTTACTGTGGATGACTATTTTAGCTACTTCAATATTTTTTCTTTATTCTATTAATAAAATAAATTTTAATTTTTTTCCCATAATTCAGCAGAATTAGCCAAACAAGCCACTTGAGTTAGAACTTCATAAATTTCGGCGGAATCCGCCGATTCAATAATTTCAGTGTTACTAAACGTATTATAATTACGATAAATCTAGATTATGGAGTATACTAAATCCTCAATGCCTTAATGCTAGGTAGGTCAAGCAACTAATTTCAGAGAGAACTGAGAATGTAAATATTGATTGTGATATGTATAGATACAGATTTAACTTTTGATAGAGCACAAATAGAAATTCAAATGTTCTCACTCAAAATACACACTACCAATTTTTTAATATTTTCTTAATTTTATACTTTGGTATTAGATTTTTATTACAATGTTCGAATAAATATTCCTGGAAATGCATAACAAGATTCAAATTTGGGATTTACTTAATAATCGATATAAAGAGTTTTGTATAATCTTAGCTAACCCCTACATGCTAATAGACCTTATAATATTTCAAAATAATGCTAAACATGCAAACATTACATTGTAGTTTAATAATACTTCCATCTCGAAACGGTTCGCCATAAATATTAACTTTTCTTGGTCAATGATGACGAACTTTGGACAATGATTTTAATTATTATATTTGTCTAAAATTTATAAATTTTACTTTTATGAGCATATTTTGAATAAGGAACATGTTGATATAATTTTTATACTCTAAATAATTTCATATTAAAAGATATAATTAGTCAAAGTTGATTATCATTGACTAAGAAAAGTGAATTTAGCGAACCTGTTCGGGATGGACTGATGGAGAGAGTAAGAGACTTCATTGAAACAAAATATTTCATTTAGTGATTACATAAAAAATGTATCTATCGATCGTCAAGATTGGTGACTATAAGTTTCAGTCATGCAAAAATGGTCAAGCTTTGAAAATGTATCTAATTTAAATAAATTACACATCTAAAATATTTTATATTCCATTACTATTGTAACTCTAAAGCAATCTCGCACAAAAGATAAAAAAGAAGATTTTTTTACAATAAATCATTTTTAGATGTATATGCATCTAAAACATTGTGTGAATTAGGATGTTTTCTTTTGGACTGAAATTTGCTGGTCTGGTCTGATAAACGTCTGGTCTCTGTGTATTTTATAACTACGGAAGTCAAGTTTAGTCTGGTCTAATCTGGTCTGGTCTAGGACTAAAAGCAGTCCAAAAGAAAACATCCATACTGATGGTTGAAAATGTATAATGGAGTTTTTCAATTTCCTTTCATATACATATTATATTATAAAGTAATACGGAGTAGTTAACTAAATTCATTTCTATAAAATTTGAACACAAAATTAAGCAGGTTGCACAAAAGTAGTTTTTATTCACAATAGTTTGTTTCCTAGATGACAAAGGGTGGGTGTACTACCGTTGTCCAAAATGCAAGAATTCTATCGAGAGTTGTGCAATCATGTGTGATAGTTGTGCCTATGCATTTAAAAGCTCCAACATCAGGTTCTCTCTCATATCGAATATTCAACAATATTTAATGTTTTGTAATATAGTAGAGTAAATATTTAATTTTTTTTATAAAGTACTCCCTCCGTCCCGTTGGAATGTTCCCGCTTTCCTTTTTTGGATGTCCCAAAAAGAAGTTCCCATTTCCCTAAATGGAAAGTTATCCTACATCAAAACAGTGTCAAACAGTGCAAAACAGTGCCAAACAGTTTCCAAACAGTGTCCAAACAGTGTCAAAACAGTAAAATTTACCCCCTGGTAAGTTTATTTCATTAATATGTGTGTAGGTCAAACCGGGAACATTCCAACGGGACGGAGGGAGTATAAACTATGAATCTATAGCCAGGGATGGATTTAGGGGGGGGGCGCGGGGGGGGCGACCGCCCCCCTTGGACTTTCAAAATTGTCTACCATATATGTAATATTTTTATAAAAGTTTCATAATTTAATTAGATTCGCCCCCCTTAGCTTTTAATTTTCAAAATCAATATATAAGTGTTACATAATGTAATACTTAATTGAAGATTTAAAAGAAGGAACATCTAAAATAATTTACATAACTTAAACAAATAAACAATAGAATAACTCGTTGTTTAAGATTTAGGATACTTATTATATAAGAATTTCTAGTTTTGTAATGTTTAATTATCTTTATTAGATAACAAGTACTCGATTTTGTAAAATATATATCAAACAATATTAAATATCAGACACACTAATTACACAGTTTTTGGATCACATGAAATGAATCCAAAATATAAATGTTTATTGACATTGAATTACATAATTCATTTACTTCTTG